TTCTGTGAGAACAGCACCATCTACAGGCCTGGCATATGTACTACAGCGTCTCCAGCGCTTTCGAACGGCAATGTCCGTGGCTGTCTCCTCCTGATTGGTGGAGAGTTGGCCCAATAGCCGTAGCGCCACCGTCCTGACGTCAGGACAGTGTTCAAATCTGGATCAGTTTTTATCAGATCCGTTGCAGCCCCTTTTTTAGAGATTTGGGTATGGAGGAAAATAGAGAGGGTTGTGTTTTCTGACACTTGGTGAGTTCCCTGGAACACCTGGGACACATATTCATGTAGAAAAGACGTGCACAAGTGCATTTTGCATGATAGGTCCCCTTTAAGTATTCCAAAATGTTTTTTTTTTAACATTTCAACTTATTTGGAAAATATTCTCAAAATATTCTTAATTCTTAACTTATTTCTCAAAATATTCTGTCTTTTATTTAATTTTTTTTACATCTTAACTTTCTTTGAAAATATTCTTTAAATATTCTGTGTTTCTTCGTATAAACATTTTATCTTAATTATTTTTCTAAATATTCTGCATAAATGTGCGACTGAATGCTGATTCTAAACCCATGTTGTGTTTATATAAAAGAAGAATCTGTATAATCTCACCTTTGTGTTCTGAGCGGAGTGGAGGTCTGATCTCCGCCCTGCAGACGGACCCTCGTCTCCTGGACCTGATCCTTGAACTGTTGCATGCTGGGAGGAAGATCTTCCTCTCCCATGGCGTCCAGGATGGAGTCTGTGAGCACGTCTTCGTCTGTCTTCGTCCTCAGGTTGGTGAAGTCTCTCTGGACGTCTCTCTGGACGTCTCTCTGCCTCTCGCTCTGCTCCGCGTCGTCCAGTCTGTCGAGCAGCGAGCTGTCCTGCAGGAGGCTGTCGTAATCCCCGAACAGATCCTCGCTGTCGCTGCAGAACAACTGAACACAAGATTCAAGGCTTTTATCATCATGTGTTCAGAGCCACAGTGGAGATATATCAATGAACATCTGAGGTCTCAGGCTCCTCCTCCAACAGAGCAACACAATAACACAGATAAAATAGTGTAAGTCAATAAAAATAAAATAGAATAGAATATAAATAGTGCAAGAATAGTCTATATACAAGTAATTGGAATATGATATATTAGATAAATAGTTGTTTACAACCAACAACAGCTGGGAATCAATACAAATAAAACGATACAAACGTCATCTTAACTTAATGCATGCACATTTTACAAAATGCAGACAACAGCATTTAAAAAAAAGAAAAAAAAGAATCATAATTATTGTTTTGATGTGAAAACAACAACATAAATAACCCTTAAAGCTGATCATCCAGCTGTTCATCTGTCCTACCTCTGCAGCAGGTTGTTGTTGTTGTTCTGCCATGATGCTGCTCAGCCTGCAGATCGGAGGACATTTCTCAGGTCCTCTCTTCCTCTCAGGTGTCATCTGTGAGCTATCGCGAGATCTCTTCCTGGACGAGACCCGTTTGATTCTGATGTCTCGATGTCTACATGTCAATAAAACCTCAAATAAACACAAACAACTACACTAGGAACACAGCTGAGGCTCTGCTACACACACCTGTACACATTGAATACTTCAAACCTAAATTAGATAATGTTTAGATCAAGAAAAAAGCACTTTAAAGCCCATTACACGTTAGCTAGTAAAGCGGTTTTCTTACTCCTGGCAGTTTGTTCTCTGATGTGTTCCTTCCGCGACATTAACAGTCTCCTAAAACCTTTTAAATCACCTCAAACTCCGGTGAAAACGTAAAGAAAGTCTGCCAAAAAAAGCGTTTTCTTGTATTGCTTCTGTTTTTAACGTCAACAGCTCCGCAAGAATCACGTTTGAATTTGTGAAGAACAAATCCAACGTCAGAGCAAGAGAGGAATCCCTGCGTCACTTCCGGCTTCGGTTGTCGGAGCTAGCAGCGCTAACCGGGATAGCTTCCCAAATGTAGTAATTCATCTATAGAAAACGTTCGATGAATTACCCGAAAACCAAGCTGATTACCGCCACATAGCAGACATGTGTTATCTGCTGTATTTTCTGTCACTGTATAGCCTATCTTCCTGAGAAGTACATGTTAGCAATTGGAACATTCATTCAGTTTCCGGTTGAAAAGTCACCCACAAAGGAAAGCCGATATTTAGATATTAGATTAGATATTTCACTCATATAATCATCAGCTTTTTTAAAATCTCCCTTTGTAGTTTGTATTACAAATACAAAAGTGTTTAAAAAGGTGGGTTAAATGTGAGAAAATCCATACGTAATGTTGATTACGATGGTCGTTTTCTGGGGTGATTTCTATCTTGTGCTGTTATTTTTTATCTTTGAAACGGGGGGTAACATTGAATCTGTTTCCTAAAATAATACAAAAATAAACGTAATATTAAATATTCATAAGCACACAAAACCATACATTTCATATTATTTTTATACTCAGCAACACAGATATATAATATGCGTAATTTGGCTCTTAACCAACAAGTAATCAGTTAAATAGGTGGTAGGAACTAATAGTTGACTCAGTGAAGAACCCGGAGTTCCCGTCTGGTGGACATCTTCCGGTCGTGTGTCAGGTCAAAATGCTCGTCCTCAGAGGTTTAACGAGAATAAGAACGGTTTTATTACAACAAGGAAACACAGGTGAGACTTTATAACACCTGTATTAAGTGTTATAATGATATAGCATTCATTAAATGTAAAACTAACCGTTAATATGTGTTTATTAGGTGGAGTTAAGCTACGTGTTGCTAATGCTAATGCTAACATATGAGCTGTTGTTGATGTCATTTTATATAATAATAATCCTTTTTCTGCAGGTTTAAGAAGTCTCACAACAACCTCAAATGTAGTCCAACCAAACGAGGACAGGGTGGGTAATTTTATTTATTTATGAATAATTATTACATCAGTAATAACAGGATTAGATTAATATATTTGTGTATTCTTTTTACAGCTCATTAAGATGGAAAACCCCTACAAAGAGCCTCAGAAAGGATGCCTGCTCTGCAATGTGACTGTAGACTTCAAGAACACTCAGGTAAATAAAGCACCTGAGTGTGTGTGTGTGTGGGTAATAAGTGAGTGTGGGTAATGAGTGTGTGTCAGTGTGTGTTTGTCAGTGTGGGTAATAAGTGCGTGTCAGTGTGGGTAATAAGTGTGTGTGTGTGTGGGTAATAAGTGTGTGTGTGTGTGTCAGTGTGGGTAATGTGTGTGTCAGTGTGGGTAATGTGTGTGTCAGTGTGGGTAATGTGTGTGTCAGTGTGGGTAATGAGTGTGAGTGTGGGTAATAAGTGTGTGAGTGTGGGTAATGAGTGTGTGTCAGTGTGGGTAATGAGTGTGTCAGTGTGTGTAGTGTGTTTAGTTAAAGGTGGGTTTACAGGAGGGTGTATATGTGTCCATGGTCCTGAACTCCTCATATATCTAGTGTCATTATTAAAAATGTCTGAGGTCTTTTCTTACACTTCAAAATGCAGAATTCTAAAGAGAGATGGACGTTTCAAATGCATTTCAAACGGGGAAAATCTGTTTAGCCACTGTGGGAATATCCACGTCTAAAGAGAGAAATATCCACGAGATCCTTCGCCACTTTTTCAACGGTATTGGCGGTATATGAACATTCCCATCACACGGTCTAAAGGTCACGGCATTCGGCACTATGTGGTACAAACATCCTAACCCTGTAGCTGTGAGATCAAACTGAACATTAAGGGGGTTTATCTAGTATTTTTGAACAAGTGGAGCTCCAAAGGTCACAGGAAGTGTCTGAGTGTCGCTGTGTGTGATAATAATAATAGTAGATTGTATTTGTAAAGCACCTTTCATTGCTAAAAGTAATCCCAAAGTGCTAAACCCTGATCTGTGTGTTTCCTGTCAGCTGCTGTCTCAGTTCATCTCTCCGTACACCGGACGGATCTACGGACGCCACATCACACGTGAGAGACACCTGGATCTGGAATATCTCCTCAGTGAAGATTCAACTCTGATTTAACGCTGCTTTGTGTTTCAGGATTATGTTCCAGGAAACAGAAGGAAGTGGCCAAAGCCGTGAAGAAATCTCACGCTTTGGGTACGTCTTCCTCACGCTGACCTTTTTGAAATAGGGGTTTAGGCCCTGTTTACATGGAAACGAAAACGAAAACTAACCTTAGTCGATATCAAAAAAGTCTTCCGTCCACACAAGACCGCTGGAGGCGCTGTAGTACATATGCCGGGCCTGTAAGTGGCGCTGTACTTCCGCCACAAAATACACCAAAAGCAGCGAAGAAGACCCCCGAGCATGGTTGCCATGGTTGCCCTTCTGTTTATTCCCCGCGGTGGATTTAGCAACATGGAGTTCATGTAGTTCTCCATGTCCACTTGTTGCTGATGGTTGTGGTCGAGGAGCTGTAGAGTTTGCACTAACATCTGTAGCATGGTCAGTAGCGTCTGGAGCACGAACGCAACCCTGTGATCTGCCATTGTTGTTGTTGTTGTTGGCGAAACACATCAGCAATGACGCGGGTGACGCGGGGGATGAGCAGCAGAGGTGGGGAGAGGCGTATAGGACGTACACACGGAGCCGTTCCGTCCGCCTTGGGACCCATTATCGTTTGAGGGCTCCGTTACCCGCGTTTCCGTTACGGCCTCGTGTGAACGAACCGTCTATACGATAGAGAAAAGTAGCAGATACAACCCGTTCCGTCTCCGTGTAACGGGACCTTCGACACTAGGAGCTTAAGGAGCCAGAAGAGGAGGGGTCATATTAAGGAAAAACGTCATTAAAAGTGGTACATTTCCATCCATTTGGATATTCTGAGATTCATTCACAAATTTAACGGGAATTTCTTTTTTTACAGAAAATATATTTTAATGTTCTCAGATTAAAGTAAAGAAAAATAAATCCCTGATATTTTTGGAGAAAATTGACAAAAATAATATTATTCTGAGTCAAAGTATGTACAATTTATAAAAAAAAACTAAAAAAAAACTTGAATATTCTGAGATTTTAGTAAAATATTTAGGAGAAAAAACTCTTTTTGAGATAAAAAAAGTGAGTTTACGAAAAACTACATTATCGTAAGAAAGGGGAAAAAAAGCGATTCAACTTGGAAATGTATGAAAACTCGAAGATGAGATTTCAACAAATTTTAAATAGTTAAAAACCTTAAATATATTGTATGTGTTTGTCTTTTCTCTGCAGGCTTCATGTCGGTCACCCACAAACACCCGGAGTTCATGAAGGACCCGCACGTCTGTGGGAGACAACCTGGAGTAATGTGAAATGTGTTTATTAAAGCTGTGTGTTTGTTATCAGTCGCTCATCTGATAGGATTATTACTAATCTAAAATCAATAAATGTTGTTTTTTTTCCCTCTAATTTGAGTTTTCTTTAAATTAAATGCAGTTTAATTTCTTCAGCTTCAACACTTAGTACTCAAACTTTAATATTGCTATTGAATTGATAGTAAAATGGTAAATGGACTGTATTTATAGCCCATTGTTTCACACGTTAGGCTCGCCTGGGCTTCTTTTGTAATTATGCTATTAAAACATGAACCTTGGTGACCGCCTGCATGGTCTGAACTAACCAAGCCTCTGATCAACAGACTTCATGCAATGCTTCATTGGATGCATGATATCAGATCAGGGTCTATGCAGGAAGTCACATGTAAAACCTTTTAAGACCCTTTCCATACATTTTAAGACCTCATCGCCACTTTGAGTTTTAACCGGTTACCTTGGCGACACACTTTACCTCACATTGACTATATTCAGTATTGATTGTCCTTCCTCCTTATCTTCCAACCATTTGGACGCAGACTTGCATTTCCCGTAACGATGTTGTTTAACAACCGGCGTAAACGGACCTTCGCGCGCTATCAAGCAGTGAGCGTGCGATGTCCTGTTCAGATGACGTCAAACCCAACGGGATGCCATAAATAAACTCCACAGAATCACACTACACACCTCTCCAGCTGGGAGAGGAGGAGGAGCTTCTGCCTGCTCGTGGAGGAGCAGGAAGTCCCTGAGGAGCCAATCAGAAAGGAGGAGGTGGCAATTAGAGAGGAGGAGGAATCAGAGAGGAGGAAGAACCAATCAGAGGGGATTTTGACTCTGTAAAATATATAAATAATAGTTTTTATTCTATTTTATCTTTTTATTGCACTTTTTTTCCTTTTTATGCTTTATATAAATATTTGTATTCTATTTACTTTTTATATTCTACCTTGATTTTTATTTTTTTTTATTATACATTTGTACTTTTTGCATTTATATAAATTTTTTTTTTTACATATTACATTTTGTTCATATTTTGTAAGTCACGTCACTCGCCCTGCACCCCTCACTCACTCTCTCTCTTTATAAAGAATACAATCAGAAAAGGTAATAACTAATAAATATTTTAAATATAAATAAATGAATAAATAACTATAAAAATGTAAATAATAATAATGTATTAAATAATAATAAATATAAATAGATATACACCCACTCACTTCCTGAGGTATCTGCAGATCAGCGCTCCCACATTCTCACAGTTCTTCTTCGTGGGGCAGAAAACCAGACAGGAGTGTTTTGGGATGACTTCGGTCACCATGGCGATGATGTGGTCCGGGTCCAGCTTCTGCATGGAGCTGGAGTACTGGAGTTTCAAAATAAAAGCTTTAACAATATATACTGACGGAGTTTCAAATAAAAGCATCAACAATATGTACTGACGGAGTTTCAAAATAAAAGCATCAACAATATGTACTGACGGAGTTTCAAAATAAAAGCATAAAAATGTGTACTGACGGAGTATCAAAATAAAAGCATACAAAATGTGTACTGACGGAGTTTCAAAATAAAAGCATCAACAATATTTACTGACGGAATTTCAAAATAAAAGCATCAAATATATGTACTGACGGAGTTTCAAAATAAAAGCATCAACAATATGTACTGACGTTGTTTCAAAATAAAAGCATCAACAATATATAGTGACGGAGTTTCAAAATAAAAGCATCAACAATATGTACTGACGGAGTTTCAAAATAAAAGCATAACAAATGTGTACTGACGGAGTATCAAAATAAAAGCATACAAAATGTGTACTGACGGAGTTTCAAAATAAAAGCATCAACAATATTTACTGACGGAATTTCAAAATAAAAGAATCAAATATATGTACTGACGGAGTTTCAAAATAAAAGCATCAACAATATGTACTGACGTTGTTTCAAAATAAAAGCATCAACAATATGTTCTGACGGATTTACAAAATAAAAGCATCAACAATATGTACTGACGGAGTTACAAAATAAAAAGCATCAACAATATGTACTGACGGAGTTTCAAAATAAAAGCATCAACAATATGTACTGACGGAGTTTCAAAATAAAAGCATCAACAATATGTACTGACGGAGTTTCAAAATAAAAGCATCAACAATATGTACTGACGGAGTTTCAAAATAAAAGCATCAACAATATGTACTGACGGAGTTTCAAAATAAAAGCATCAACAATATGTGAATATTGTCCGTACCTTGAAGTTGAGGAGACGAGAGAATTTGAAGCAGTCCTCCTCCTTTGGGTCTACTTCATAGATGGTGTCTTGCAGTTTAACGTACTCCTTCAGCTGCACCTGAACACACCACAGACCAGCTTCTTTAAACACCTGTTGGTGGTATATTCATTAATATCAGTATTTCACAGTAAATCCCTTACAGGCCGGAAGTCATTGCTGTAGTTTTCTGCTCTTAAAAACGTCTGCAGGTCTTTAATGTTTCCCAGCGTGGCGCTCATCCCGATAATCTGAGTGGATTCTGGAGAATAAAAACAAAAAGACGGTTAATTCAAAGCTTTTTAAGGGTTTAATAAGGAAGATTAAAGCGTCTCTTACTGGCCGTGTAGAGAACTTTAGCGAGCGTCATCTCAATGATCGCTCCTCTGCTGCCGTCGCCCCAACATGTGAAGCTGCAACACAGAGGAAACATGTAAACGCCAGGTAGGGCGGTGCATTCAGAGAACAGAATAACCAAGTATAATGTTGTAAATTAATTAAGAAAATGTAAGAAGATTAAAGTGGTACATTTTGAGGGAAAATGTCGATATCTGTTCAGAATAAAAAAGGGACATTTTAGGGACATAAATCGCCATTTTACTAGAAAACAATAAAACAAAAAATTGAATAATGTTCTGGATACAAATTGTCATATTTAAGATTTTAGTCTAAAATGTATTCTTTTTTAAAACAAGGACATTTTGAGATTAAAGTCGTGAATCTGGTGGAAAATTACTTCAGATATTTTCAGAAATAAAGTGGAATATTTACAAAAATAAACTCACAGATGCACTAGAAAAAACCTTTGATAATATCTGAGAAAAAGTTGAAAAGATTCTGTAAAAACTCTGAGATTTAAGATTAATATTCTTTGAGGTTAAAATTGTAAATTTAGGAGAAAAATTCAAATATTTTTTTAGATTGAAGTCGGAAATTTAGGGGGAAATCACACAATATCTTCTGAAATAAAGTGGATTATTAACGTAAAAAAAACGTCTGAGATTTCAGATTACATGTATGATAAACAAACATTGATATACTTTGAGATTAAAGTTGTTATTTCAGAGTTGACCACCAGCCTTCCTCCCCCACCTCGTCCACCACCACCAGCCCCAGGTCGTCGATCCTCTGGTTCTCGATCAGCGAGTTCACGAGGCTGTGGGCTTTTTCTATCGTCGCGACGTAAAGAGACCTCCTGTCTTTCCTCTTTACGGGGGGGAACCTTCCTTTACTGCCGGCGTACTCCTCCACCAGGAAGTCCAGCTCCACGCCGAAGCTCGCCAACCCTCGCACCTTCAGAGGAGACAGGAAGGAGGTCAAAGAGGGAGGAGAAGAGAGGGTTTTAGAGGACAGGCGTCCCACAGGGCTCTAATCCTGGTCCTCTTCTATTTACTGCGATATCATAATTTCTACCAAACTGCAACAAACGTTTCTGTGCAGATGACACCATGTGATCCTCCATATGGAGTCAATAGAGAAACGCAGGGGAGAGCCTTCAACTCTGGAATCAGCACTTTGTGTCCTTGTCTTAAAGTCGACTTAAAACTTTTTCTTTTCATGAATATTTATTTTTTATTAAACTATACTTTTTTATTCCTCTTTACATTTTCAACATTTACTTATACCATGTTTTATGTAATTTTAATTCGATATTTAACTTAATAATTTTTTTTTATTATAGATTATATAATTTAATTAAATTATATTTCAGATTTTTTTTTTTTTAATATTAACTTATTTATTTATTCCTCCCTACCTTCTCCTGTCCTCCCTCCCTTCTCCTGTCCTCCCTCCCTTCTCCTGTCCTACCTCCCTTCTCCTGTCCTACCTTCTCCTGTCCTCCCTCCCTTCTCCTGTCCTCCCTACCTTCTCCTGTCCTACCTCCCTTCTCCTGTCCTCCTTCTCCTCCTGTCCTCCCTCCCTTCTCCTGTCCTCCCTCCCTTCTCCTGTCCTACCTTCTCCTGTCCTCCCTCCCTTCTCCTGTCCTACCTTCTCCTGTCCTCCTCCCTTCTCCTGTCCCTACCTTCTCCTGTCCTCCCTACCTTCTCCTGTCCTCCCTACCTTCTTCTGTCCTCCCTCCCTTCTCCTGTCCTCCCTCCCTTCTCCTGTCCTACCTTCTCCTTTCCTCCCTACCTTCTCCTGTCCTCCTGACCTTCTCCTTTCCTCCCTCTTCTCCTTTCCTCCCTTCCTTCTCCTGTCCTCCCTACCTTCTCCTTCCTCCCTCCCTTCTCCTGTCCTCCCTTCTCTTGTCCTCCCACCTTCTCCTTGTCCTCCTTCCTTCTCCTGTCTCCCTTCCTTCTCCTGTTCCCTCCCTTCTCCTGTCTCCCTACCTTCTCCTGTCCTCCCTACCTTCTCCTGTCCTCCCTCCTTCTCCTGTCCTCCCTCCCTTCTCCTGTCCTCCCTACCTTCTCTGTCCTCCCTACCTTCTCCTGTCCTCCCTACCTTCTCCTGTCCTCCCTCCCTTCTCTGTCCTCCCTACCTTCTCCTGTCCTCCCTACCTTCTCCTGTCCTCCCTCCCTTCTCCTTCCTCCCTACCTTCTCCTGTCCTCCCTACCTTCTCCTGTCCTCCCTTCTCCTGTCCTCCCTACCTTCTCCTGTCCTCCCTGTCCTCCCTACCTTCTCCTGTCCTCCCTGTCCTCCCTCCCTTCTCCTGTCCTCCCACCCTACTCCTGTCCTCCCTACCTTCTCCTGTCCCTACCTTCTCCTGTCTCTCCCTCCTCCTGTCCCTTCTCCTGTCCTCCCTTCTTCTCCTGTCCTCCCTGTCCTCCCTATCCTTCTCCTGTCCGATCCTCCATTCTCCTGGAGTCCCCCATTCTCTTGTCCTCCTACCTT